AAACTGCGAAGGAAATGAAGAACCCAAGACACTTGCAAGGAACATGCCTATAAAAGCACTTTAAACAAAAGGGCCTTCGGCCTATAAATAATAAGGAAAAGGCAAAAGAAGAACAAAAAAGGAAAGGAAAGGGACCACTTGCCAAGCAGTTTGTGACTTTTCTTCCAATTAAGAAATCATTCAAGGGCATTACATGATGATGTCCTCGATCTCTAATATTATTATAATTTGTAAATCATATAACACAAAGCCTAGATTGTCCGGTTCTCCGGCAAACCTTTAACACGAAGAGTTTTAGAAATAAGATAGCATTTATTTTTTAAATATTTTTTATTTAAAAATCTATCAATATAATTTTTTTTTTAAAATATTTTTAACACCAATCCAAAAATAAAAGAAAAATATATAAAAAAATTAATTTAAAACAAAAATAAAATTTAAATTTTTAAAAAACACAATTTCATGCTAGCAAACACACAATCATGAATAACTTTTATTAGAGAACTAGATATGTATATTTCCTTTTTGTTAATATTGTTAATTGATACGAGATGAGAGTTTATTTTATCAAATGATTATAAGTTTAAATTCTACCTTTGTTCTTTCCTCTAATTAAATATCAGTAGCTCCTAGGAGTAACTACTTCCCATGAAATGTCGAAGAAACACCAGCAACTGCAATTTACAAAAGGCTCCATGGCTTCTCAACATCCTGGATTATCAACCCATCAATTTTTATTTCCTTTCTCATAACCCTAAGAGCCCATCTTGAAACTTTTACAAAAGAGGCCTTCGATTGGTTTGTACAAGCCCAAAGGTAGCCCGGGAAACTAACAGAAAACCGATCTCAAGTCTCAACCACCCTTCGAAACAAATGAAAGAGTACATCCGGATTGATAATTTGCCCTAGGGAGGAGACTTCCATGACATATGAAAAATTAGGAATTATTAAGAGTTATGTCCAAGACCCAGAGTAATTTAAGACATGATGCATATTTACTAACATAAATAGTCTAACCAAACAGAGAAATTGCTCTGGTTATGAAAGAAAATTCGCTTTGTTGTAGGTGAGCTGAAGGCACAACCTCGCCGATTGGGAGCAAGTGTATCCAGGCTGATCTTATGCAGCTGGTCATTCTAATTCGTAAAGCGAAAGCAGACCCTGTTAAGAAGAGCAGCAGCAAGGACAGAAGAAGAATTGGAACACAAGCTGTCGTCAACAGAAATGAACATAAAGCATGACAAAGAAAATCCCTATCTGTTCATTTTCTCAGTCCCAACCAACTGGCATCAGCGAGTTGGATGAATATGGCAGATAAAAAATATCTAGTAGGATCATTAATCAAAAGAATGACCCAATAAACTCAAAAACCTTGCTCACACCCCACCCCATCAGAATTGCCAAAAGAGAAAAGGTGGCAAGAAACACCACAAAGTATATGGGGTCAGCCTGTGAATGGTCACTGAAACTTCAAAGCTACTAGGACATTTTCCTAAATTCTGCACACACCAATGTCTATCACCTCAACAATCAATTATGCATCCCCACAAGTTCTGCCAATGAACCCAAATAATTGAATAGAATTAAGGTTCATCTCTGGATTATTCTTAGAAACACACTGCAGATCAAGCATTGAGGATGGTCACAAAGGCAGATTTTCACCATGCTTCATGCCCATGTCATAGCGTCTTACCACAGCACCATCCATGACTCCTATGGAACAAGCCCCATACAAGCCCCACACTTCCCTGCATTTTCTTTAACAACAAAGAACACTTATATTTAACCTAGGGAGATCAAACTTTAGGTCCAAGAAGTTTATTTTTTTTTTCAGTTTTAGAACCTTGCATCAGTATTTTGCACCATAGAGAACTAGTCAGAGATTTTTAACTTCAATTCTAAGACAGAACATGATAATGACACTTCCTAACACGCTATCACAACCATGTATTATGACATAACCATAACCAAGTATGCAAGCAGCTAATATCACCAACAACTAGCATGCAAGGTACACAAGACCTAGAAGTTGAACAGCCTCCCAGGTTGCAACTAATACAAAGATTGAGCTCAACTGGGCTCAAAGAAATTCCAATCAAGCAAACAAACAATTATTAAACCACTCCATTCAACAAGGGAAGAAACCTTGTTATTCGAGGCAAATATAGGTCCAACAACGAAAGAAAAACTGTCCAAAGCTGTAGTAATAATAAGAGCTTCAAAGAACCCATTATATAAACTTAATAATTTAAAAATAATAAATCAAAAAATCAGAAGAAGCTGAATTGTACAAGTGAAGAAAACCATAATCAAACAACCAAAACTAACAATCACTCAATTATAAGCGGCTAGATTTCACACTAAAAGAACTGTCTGAATTTATGCATGATAATTAATTGTGCCATTCACTGTGGTGTGTTATCATTCTACTGTCCTGCTACCTGTCCACCTACATATACAACCATCTCTCATAGGAAGCATCTCAGTTTTACTATCCATCTCCAAAGATACTACTAGTAGCCATTCTTTTGAAAAGTTCAGCTAGTAAATTCCTAAATGGATACAACAGCCTGTTCCACAAATGCTTTAATGGTATTATGCAGAGAGGACACCAAATTTAAGCAGAAGTTTATCATGCAACGCACCTACAGGACACTGTCTTGCCAGTCCCCTCTACATGAAACTTGCCTACCAAGGCAACTACCCGTCACGAATCCCCCATTTCCCTATAATACTCTTAACGAGTCATTTCTCCAACAGGCTTTTCGAACAGTCCAAACAGTATGAAGTAATGCCTAACTAGACACCACCAAAAAGCACAAATGACAATGCAACAACTCTCAGCACATAATGCTTGCTAGGTACTAATTAAAACACATCAGTTCACCTTCCCATGAAACCATACATAAAAGTTCTCTCCAACAACCCCCTTGCTAACTTTGTTTTTGCAGAAGCATCCAAATGCACATCAAGAATCCAATATATTCACATCAAACAATGATTATACGCATGCTGGGCACGTGAAAGTGAAACTCCACATCCAGGTTGCATTATGTAATTTCCACAATAGCATATTGCATCTTTCTGTCAAATAGTAATGAAACACCCAATGCCTCAATATTATTAGAAATCATAGAGACAACAACGATAAATTTCCTGAAGTACTATAATCATCATGTCTTCAGTATCCCAAGTCCCAAATCCTAACCTAACCATAACCGAGTTATGAAGACTCATAATACCTTAAACATCAAATATGCCAGAAAAATCATCGCAGAATTCTGGGTAATTATATCCTTTAATCACACCAGTATTTAGCCAATTTAAATTCAGTGATCCAGTTCATGAAGGAACTTTAAGTTAAATCCAACATGTTATCGAAATCAAAACCAGTTAAAAATTCTGACCAAAAAATTTCTAAACCGTCATGCTGTAATAAACACTTAACCAGCTCCAAATAAGCATACTTTTCAACAATCAAAAAACCTTATTCGACCACACAATGCCAACATCAGAAAATATAACAACAAGGAAAGAAAATCCCCGCATGGACATAATGATCAGCAGCTCCAACCCATGAAAAGCTGTCCCGCATTGCATTTCAAACATGGTAATTAATTGATCAAAGGTTACTAAAATGATAAACAAAAATGAATAAAAAATTCTCATTAAGAAACAAACAACTTACCTGACAAGTCACATTCACATTAACAAAGTCAAAACTCAAATTCAATTCAAAGAAAGAGCATCCACACAGACAATTCAATTCACCAGATAACTGGCAAAGGAAAATCACAATACTACCAGAAACATTAACCAAAAAATAAACTTCATGTAAAAATTATCCAAATTACAGAAGACAGTCAATCAGTCAGTCGGTCAAAAACCCTTTTTATTTGACTACATGTTATTATCAACAACCCCAGCAAAATCCCACAAAATTTTGATAAAAAAACAAGCATACCCAGATCTCCAATTTCACTCAGAATCAGCAGAACCGGAAAGGCCCAACTTCTCCATCTGGAGTCGTTCAAGTGCTTTCTGATGAGCCCAAGTTTCAATAGTGAGATCAGGCTTAGCATTGAGACCAACGCCAAGGATCACAATCGTTAAGAAGCTGGTGATGTAGCAAGGCAACTCCCAATCTTCCCATTTACGAGACTCTCCGGGTGGTGGTGGGGTCCGATTGAGAAAGTGACCTTTGGGTTGTTCCTCGTGTCCCGGAGATTTCCATCTGCTGGGACCAGCTTTTGCGCCACCGCGGGTTCGGAGGGCGCTGGAGATGCGGTGGCGGAGCATGGAGGATGCCGTTGTGAAGGGCATTGTATTGGGTTTTCTTTAGAGAGAAATGTGAAGAAAGCCCACAGAGACTGAGTTTAACGAGAGAAGTCTGTTTTGAAGTATTTTGGAAACGACGCAAAACAGCGTCGTACTGTCGTCTAAATGTGCTTTCCCTTTTCTTTTTACCTTTTAGGAATGGATAAACATTTTGATTAGACAATTATAAATTGAGATTTATTTTAAAAAATTATATTTTTTTTCTTGAAACAATTATGTGAATCTTTTTTTTTTTTTTCTCCCTTGAGTTTATAATTATAGGGAAACAAAAGTCAAATGGAGCATTCCTATTAAAGAAATGTCTCTTGTATGGTTAAGTAGGTGGAAAAAATAGTTAAATAAACATATTATTATTTTTTTCCTACTTTAATTTCCTGATTTATATTTGACATTTTTATCTGCTGAGGATATTATTTGAAAAATTTTCAGTAAATTTTTAATTTTCACCCATTTCCTCCTGACTTGAGAGCAAATTTTTTATTGTAGAAAAGAAAATTTTGGAATCTAACTTCTCTCTTCATCCCTTTTACTTCTTTTGTTTTCTTTCTCTTCCATTAATCAATATTCCATTCACACCGTCAGGTTCTTTTCATTATATATATATATATATATAGATAGATAGATAGATAGAGAGAGAGAGAGAGAGTTTAATGGACAGTTAATTCTTTGTATGCTAGTTACATTGAAAATGAATACAAGAATATTTAAATGAATGATACATCAGATAAGAGAAGTAGGATCCATATGATGGTGCAAAATGCAGGCGTGAGGGGCAAAGCAAACTGCAAATATTCAAAAGTTTTCTATGGTGAAAGTGTTGTTTAGACATGAACATCCTCCCATCAACTTTCATCTATTCTGGGTAAGAACCGTCCATTCTCTAATTTAAAACCTGGTTATGAATGATTGCTCCACCACCTATAAAAAGGGATTCTTTATCTTTATATCTCTCTGTAAGATGTTAAATTCTTCAAGCTTGTCTAGTCCTTTATATCTGAAGTTCTCAAGCAGTTGAAGGCAATCTCTGAACAGGAAGGAAATACCTGTGACTGTGAAGCAAGCCATCATGCAAAGCTTTTAGACAGATGAATCTCATAATCAGTCTACCTCCCTGTAACTGATCTTTCTGGGCTTGGATAGCTGGGTGAATCAAATAAAATAGAGCTGGTAAACAACCGCGACGGTGTTGCGCGGGTTGTTTTTTGAATAACCTTCCCAGAGTCTCCAGCAGCAGTAGTAACCAACACATATCCTGTTAAAAAATCATCAAAACTCACCAATAGTCGCCACAAGAACAAATTCCCCCAGCAACATGGTGGAACCGGTTTTTATCCCTTATAGACACTTGTCTTCCGTAAACCTTCGATACAAATTTGGCAAAATTGTGACAATCAACACAAATCCGGAGGTTTTTTATTACTCGGAGCGGGACTCCCTCAGAAGTAGAAATTAATCCAAAAGCCAAAGCCAGCTTCTCACTATGGCCTAGAAGTATTTTCTCCTTTTGCTCTTCATCCACATCGTATAAAACACAACTCTGGTCAGGAACATAGCCAGATTCCTTGAATTTCACCAATAATTCCCTTGCCTTCAAAAATACCTCTTCTCTCCTAGGATGGGACCGATCACTTGCGTAAAAGGTATGAATGGTTTGGTCAAGTTCAATCCAGCTTCTTCCAGGCTCCTTTATCACAGCTTTCTCCATCATCAATTTCCTTACATTTCTCACATCTTCCCACCTCCCTGCAGAGGCATATAAATTAGAGAGAATGACATAATTCCCTGCATTTTCAGGCTCTATTTCCAAAAGACGACAACCTACAAATTCACCAATATTAGTATTTGAATGAACTCTGCAAGCTCCTAAAAGTGAACCCCAAATAGCAGCGGTTGGTTCGAAAGGCATCTTTTTGATCAATGCAAAAGCCTCTTCTAATCGGCCAGCACGTCCAAGCAAGTCAATGACACACCCATAATGCTCAATCCCTGCTTCTATCCCATCACCCCCATTCATCATCTCATCAAACATTTCCAGCCCTTCATCTTCCAATCCTCCATGGCTGCAGCCAGATAGAACAGCCAGAAAAGTGACTCTGTCAGGTTTGACTTTATTTTCTTCTCTCATTAATTTGAAAAGTTTAACCACCTCTAACCCCTTACCATGCTTACCATACCCCACAAGCATTGCATTCCATGAAATAACAGTTCTAACAGGCATGTTATTAAAGATCTTTCTTGCGTAATTAAGGTTTCCACATTTTGAGTACATATCAATCAGTGAATTCTGGAGAACTACATAAAAGGGCAATTCACATCTGAGCACATGGCTGTGAACTTGTTTGCCATGATCCAAAGCAGCAAGCCCAGACAGTGCAGTCAACAAACTGGCATAGGTAACATAATTTGAACTCATTCCTTCCCTTTGTAACCGGCAGAATAGTCCTAATGCCTCTTCATCAAGGCCTAACTGAGCATAGCCTGAGATTATTGCAGTACAGGAGACAACATCTCTTTCAGGCAAGCATTCAAAAACTCCTCGAGCTTCATGGATTCTACCAGCCTTGGCATACATGTCAAGAAGTGAGCTCCCAACAAATATATGGTTTTCATAGTTTCTCTTGAATATGAGAGAATGAATTTGCCTTCCCAGCTCTAACCCTGAAACACCTGTACAAGAGGAGAGCACAGTAGCGAAAGTGAACTCATTTGGCTCCGTATCTGCACAAATTGCATATCGGTATTAGTAAAATGTAATAAAGCACTGCGAGAGAAAGAACTTAATTCACTATAATGGACACCATGGACTGTAGTTCCTGAATCTCTATGGGAATCAAGATCTTCTATTTCTCAGCTGGGATATTCAGTCAATGGTCTCCCCACCAGGTCGTTCAAGTAGCGCAGACTAAAAAAACAAAAAAAAAGCGTGCTCTGACAAGCTTGCAAGGGTCATTTACATAGAAAACAAATTACAATCAAACATGCTTACCTGACTCCTATCATGCAAATATATATGAAAACGTTTCACTGTGAGCTTATACAGTTTTAAAGGTCATCCTTTATGTATCATGGCAATTTAACTTTCAATCTTACAAAACGCATAAGATCATTACCATCATTATAACTCAAAATTGAAACAATAGATCTGTATCTTCCTCTAACACATGCAAAGAGAATGTTGCTATAAACAACCCGTACACCTGTTAAACTTAGAGCAATTCTGCTACATATCACATTTGAGATTCATAAAAGCTTAATATAATACTAAACTAATCACAACTTATACAACGCCCCGAAACATGTCATTTGTTACTAACCATAACTTCATCTAAAGCACCAGTAAACAAAACAAAAAATCACCTGATCTTAACATCTGTACAAAAAGATGCAATGCCTCAGATGCAAACCCTCTTTGAGAATAACCCGAAATCATTGAAGTCCAAGAAACAACATTTCTCTCACGCATTTCATCAAACACATGTCTTGCACAACCCAAACGCTCACACTTCGTGTACAAGACAATCAACCTAGTACTTAAATACACAGGTGGTAAATAACATGTTTTGATCATGTGGGCATGTACCCTTTGGCCTTCTCTAACAGCCCTTTTATTGACACACTCGTTTAGTAGCATATTGTACCCATCAAACTTAATTTCAGGACCTTGAATTGCCATTTCTAGTAGTGCCTCTTGCAGTTGGCCTTTAGTGCATAGAACATTTAAATTAGTTGGTTTACTTGGCAGGAAAGAGAGGGTTGTTAGCTGGCGAGTAAATTGGTCAAGGATAGAAGCGTTTGCATGTTTAGGATAGTGGAGAAACAAGTCGATGTATGGGAGCAATTTCATGTCCTAAAATGATACTACTGGTGCTGGCCACAAAGATGAAAGTTTTGGAACAGTTTTGACACTTCCGGTTTATTTATTTATTTCAATGATAGGAGATATTTCTAAATTAATTTAATATTCACCGAGATTAAATACTTCTTCGAAAAACTTATCTCAATTTAATGCTTATTCTTCAACTAACAACTAACTGATCTAGCTAGCTCTTATCGCGTGCTTACTACCTGATTTCCATTATATGCTTATTCTGCTTGCGGTTAAACTGATTTCCATTATTTCCATTATATTATAATGTTTGTCAGTGCGATGTACATTGTGTTTTTTTTTAATTATTTATTTTTATTAAAAATTAAATTTTTTTATATTTTAAATTATTTTTATGTGTTAATTTCAAAAATAAAAAAATATTATTTTTATACATTTCAGCATAAAATGTACTTTAAAAATTAATCATAATTATATTTCCAAACAGCCGCGCACCTCGTAAGAACACTCCTCTCTTCGAAAGATTCTCGTCTTCAATCTTGAATTCTTCTGTTTGGACAATTCTTTCTTAGGTAGTCTTCTTTTGGAATAGATTTGACCATTGAATAAGCTATATGAACACTACTTGATTGCTATTCTTCATCAATTCCCTATCCAAGATTGCTACTGGCTTGATTACTCTTTCATTCTCATCACTCTTGGCTTTTCAATAATTTCATTATTATTATCTTTTTTTCACATCCAAGAACCTATCTATTTTCACTACTTGTATCACATGTATTTTCTTCATGCTATAATGATGTCCAAGTGTATACTTCTCCCCACATTTAAAACATTGCCCCGACCTCTTTCTTCATGTAAAGTTTCAAAGTCTTGTCTTTAACCATAAGGCAACTCTTTTTTAGAATGCTCAAAAAATTTTATGATGATTCACTTGGTTGTCCATCCGCGCTGTATGAGAGAGCAATTCTTAGGTTGAATAGGTTCTTCTTTCCCATGGTTTTATTGGACCCCTTTTACCATTTTGCTTGTTCAAAAGTTTGTTCCAGCATTATCGAATGATTCAAGATATCCATTAAAGATTTGGGTTTCAGATCTTTCTACATGTTCATGCACATTTTTTTTTATATAATTTGTGATGTTTGGATTAATTTGTGTGTATTATAACTAAATTTTAGATTTATTAAACACCCTACAAATACAATAAACAAATAAGATATTGCGAAAATGACAAATATGCATACAAAGTTTTGAACCTAAGGTGCAGAGGCAAAGAATTCTCTATAATTGCTAGACCACGAACCTGAGTACTGTTCATGCACTCTCTTAATTTGTTTTGTGCTAGCTTATTAAATTATCCCGCTAGATCTTTTTTATTACCGAATCTTATAAACAAAGCCCTTGTAAACTCCTAACTTGCCAGATTTTCACCTCCATACAAGAACCCTTCATACCAAATCTTCTCCTTGCCATCCAAGTATAATGATACTAGCTACACCCACTACTGTACTAGTATATAGTTTAGCTAGAAGAATTTCTCGCATTTTAGTATCCAGCTTCTGGGATTTTCTCCATGAAGATTTGACAGATTGATTATTGGCATTGATATCATATGCCCTACCCGTGAGATGTCTTGACTACCAATACAATCACTTCTTTGATTCATAAGACCATCTCCTCATTGATTCATCCTCTAACTTGGAATAATTCCTCCATTAGTTGAGTTAACTCTACCATCTTATAGGCTTCCTGAATTTGCCTTCCACATAGCCATTATAGCTTCTAATTGTGAATTGATTTGATCGAGCTTCTTGCCATGCTCCTCTGTCTTGCAGATGTTGAATATACTCATCCACTTTCCTACCATGCTCCTTTAAAGCCTTGATTTTACTGTTATGCTTCTGATACCAATTGTTAAGAATTACTCCTTAACAAGCATAGTTTATAAGAAAAATGAGGGAGAAAGATTAACGGCAAAACTTCTAAATTGATCCAATGTGATTGCTCACCTTCTTAGCTCATTATTCTCAAGCTTATATGCAATAGACCGCAGCCCTGTAACTGCTTCTACTAACTGACTAACTAGAAACCAACTTTTTATACTAACGAACTAACTATTATAATCGCATGATTGTTAACTTACTTCTATCACAGGTTTATTCTTCGTGTTACAACTGTTACTTGCTATCATTTTCTTATAAAACTGATTCAGCATTTTTAACTGTGACTGCCACATGTTTAATACCATCTTCCTTGGCTCATAACAAGCTCATTTGGTACAATTAATTCTTGATTAATCTTGATAATTAATAACACTGTTTTTGTTAATTGAAATCAGGTTTCATCTACTTAAGGGAAATCTAGTTAAGGGAAAGTCTCTCGATATCGTACCAAATGACACGGGAATGCATACTCCTCCCATCGTCATTCATCAATGGCCTCTCAACAAAATCAGAAGAAAAAATGAATATAATACTAGTTCTTCATAAAGGGAAAAATCTATCTCAATGCTCGTTAGAAGATCAAGTGGGCACCAAACCACGGCGTCGAGCGAAAAAAATCACAACTTTGTTGGACAAATTAAGCGAATCATACTGCCGTCCACGAAAGAAGTCACAAAGATAGGAACCGGTCGATCCGGTTCGATCAAGCGAGGTTTGATGAAAACCACGAATTGGGATTCAAATATCCTCCATCATTAGCAAGACAATCCAGGAAGATCAAAGCAGATGCCTATGGCATGTTCAACCTCCATACATGTCCGAAGGAGAACTTATCACTATTATCAATGGTTTCTATATAATAAAACCTGAATACAAGGCTTCCTTTATTACATATCACAAGGCATGTGTTTCTCTTCAAGTGAACCAACTCAACTCTATTGTTTCAATCCAAGAACGACGTCAAGTGATGGTTCCTCTCATGGTTTCCTAGCTATTTCATTTGTTTATACAAAGCAGAATGGAAATTGAGAAAAGAAATGTTATTCACAGTCGAAGGTCTGAAATCCAGAGGATTATCCCACAGCTCATTTTGATAATCAGACCATCTCATATTTACGTTCTCAACCTCGAAGCCCTCGATATGTTCCATGATAATCCCGGCTGAACTGTGATTAACAAGACCCTGGCATCCAGGTCTGTAGTCTACCAAGCCACCTGGATAATTTGTCCATCTTCTGAAAGTCAGATTCATGTTGATGAATCTCAGATTGCTCAGCAGGCCACCTTTAGAGCCTGACAAGAATACACCATTTTCAGAATTTGCCGTTATGTTGATGAATTGCAGATTAGATATTGAGCCCTCTTTTGAACTTGAGTGTCGCGGACAGGTTGTCACATAAATAGGCTCTGCTCTACCCCACCATGATGGATCATAGTATCTTGTGCTAATATTTATGTTTGAGAAGGTGATGTCACTTACATTTCCTGCAAAAGTTGTCCTGTGTAAGTTAGAATAATGCATAATCCAACAATGTTTCTCACATATGTTACTAAAAATCATCATTGAAACTCATAATTTAGGTGGCCATCAAATGTTGGGATTGCCACATCAACTAGGCACTACTTACTTGAGATATAGCAGGGATTAATTAAATTACAAATGCTGGGGCGGAAGTTCTCAGGCAACAATATTTAACCATCAAGGGTCAGGGTAGGATCAGTATTGTTAATTGAACTCTAGTCCCATTTAGAGCCAAAACATCACTGGTGTCACAGTCCATTTCATTAGCAGCTATGGTAACACATTTAGTAGACAAGATCAAACATAAGGATGCCATCCACTCCTTATAGCATACCCAAGAAACCAATCAAAATTCTAACATACCAGTTGAAAAGATGTCAAGGATCAAGGTAGAATCAGTATTCTTAATCAGAATCGCCAAAGATTAGCATGTCAACTTATGATTGCTCCCATAAAGGCTATCAACATTATTTTTCCATTCCTTATGAAACATATTTTCTCATACTCAATTCATCAACTTTAAAAGGTCCTGGTATGGAAAGGATATTCCATATTTACATCCTTACAATAATAGAAAGCCTTGTATACGTAAGCCTGTTCTTGAGAAGGACGTATAATCTAACAAACGATTGAGAGCATTTGCTGTCTTCCAGCATTTCCATTTCTATTTATGAAGAATTTATATTCGAAAATTGTTGACGTCATAGATGGAAGAAAGAATGAATTACCTCCATCACGTATCTGCAGTCCCAATCCTCTATGAGAATCTACAATAGTTATATTGTCAAACACCAGACCCTTGAGCTCAAACCAACTAGCACTACCAAGCTTGATCGCTGAAGATTTTGTTCGAATCCAACAGTCTGTAGCAGTCAAATTATAAATTGGACCGGTGTATGTCTTCGGACAAATAGCATCATCTCCGGTGTCGATATGACATCTTGTAATTAGTGTATTATTAGAATCCTCTATATCTATCCCATCATTATTAGGTGAATTGAAGTCACCATATATGGAAACGTCATAAATGTGTGTATTGAGGCACCGTACTATGTGCAAACTGCAATAACAAAAGCATTAATCAGATTATTATTTCAACAGAAAAGAATTGAAAAACAATAGCCAATTAGTAATCAAGTAATGATATTCAATTCAACTACTCTTCATGATAGACTTCCATAGAGACAAATCAAACAGTTTCACTGGTTAGTATAGGTAACTAAGAGACTTGGAAATTTCGTCAAGCTGCACCATCAGCAACCACACACTTACACAGGCTGCACCTAAATCTGATGAACCAGAAGTAACCAGCTTTAACATTAGCACTTGAGCTAAAAACTGATTAATGTGAGGCACGTAAAACGAGGCATTGCCAGCTGACTTCTAGATCGACAACAGTAAACATGCAATTTATGCAAATGCTGAAGAACAGCTCCTATAAGGGCTCATTCGATCCAATCGCACCACGTAATTTGTTAAAGGGTGTTCTGAGTAAGTTATTTCAGCTCCACGCTTTCTTTCCACACATTGGTGCCCGTAAAATAGGAATGGGAACATGATGTGAAGGCCTGGCTTGAACTAAGGAGAGACAAAACTAATGCTTGACCAACAAAACCTAAGTAACTGCGTCTCAAACCACTTACTACTGGTAATTAAATAACTAAACCTTAGAACATTTTGTAATGTTCATGGCACCAAAGTAGACATTTCAATCAAGTATTGGGATGTTCTATGATCCCATGGTTACTTAAGCAATAAATAAATAGTAAACG